ATATATATATATATATATATATATATATATGTAGAGAGAGACAAAAGAGCATTAATACATATACCATAGTTTAAATTGGCAAAGTCAGTAATTAAAATCAATTGCAATATCTCAGCATACAGTCTGAAACTGAACTGGTTTCATGTTAGATCATCTGTTCAGTATATTGTGTAGCTTATATGTAAGGGCTACACTTATATGTATAATAGTGTAAAAAACAAATCTTTTAAGATTGTTTGAACCTTATGTAGAGAACTATATCTGCTTTAAATGACTTGACTTTATATTATATTGTGAACATTATAAATGAGAAAAAGTGCTTTAAAATCAACAGTTATGTTTAATTTTAATAATTTCATAATGTAATTCCTATTCTGAGTATTATTCTTATAAATGTTACATCAATGTCAGTATTAGATTATACGTGTGTTTCGATTTCCGAAATACATGTAAGCCAGATTACTTTTAAGAGCAAATAAAGTAATTAAAAACAATGGTTTATATAGATAGAATTACCTGGGAAATATGACTATCTTCAAGACAGGAATGGACAGCTTTGTTTGTTCATAACTCGCATGACAGAAAATGATGTTGGGATGTACACCTGCCATGCTGTAAATGAGCATGGAGAAGCTAGCCAGAAAATCAATATTCTATTGGCAGGTTTGTGTTAATTCAAACCCCTTCTAAGCTTGGAATAAGTGTTCTGTTGTAGTTTGTATTTTGTTTATTATTTCATCACGAAAGCTATGATGACTTGTTGGTGACAGTTTCTATCATCCTGATAAATTATAACTAAATAAAAGATTACCAAGATAACTTCAGGGTTACTAAAGTAAAATTTTTTCCAAAGTTGTTTTAGTTTTTTTATATATATTTACTTGTGAAGTATTATGTTCAGTAAGTACACCTTTGACATCAGGAGGTAGCAGAAACAATAAATCTTTGATGCAGATTATTAATACTTGTAGATTAGGTTTAAAAATGGAAAGCATTTTGATAAAAAAAAATTATCAGGGATATTACTACAGATCACTAAATATTTGTCATAAATCCTGGGGAGGCTAGCATGAAATACATGTAAGTATAAAGATTAGAATGTCAAAATCATTGGTTTGTAAAAAAGTTAAAGTAGCATATACCCTTTACTTAGTGTTATATAGGTTTTGGCCTCTTTTTTTTTTTATCAGAAAAAACATTTTCATACTATGCTTTTTGTATTGAAATAGATACAAACGCATATTCTGTAACATTACCTCTGTGGCTAAATTTCATATTATAAAAATATAGCAATACAAAAGAAATGTCTGATGTTTCGATAACTTCTACAAACATGACTGAATGCTCCTAAAAATGGGTCCAGACTTTGACATGTGAAGAATTAGTCTGATGTAAGGAAATTTCTCAAAATTAATTCAAAATAAATTGTGATATTTTTTGAAATTTAAAGGGTATATGCTACCTTAAAAGAAAATATCAAGTACCAGAAAGTTTAAAATGAAATTAATATTGAATCTTATATCCTGAGAAAACATTTAAGAGGTGGTAATGATTCTTTTTTCATTTCTATTATCAGAGTTGCCAACTTTTACTAAGCGAATAGATGAAACAACCGTACTGATACGTAAAGGAGGCCAACTGGAATGTCGCGTTTTTGGAATTCCCTATCCAAAGATAAAATGGTTCAAAGACTGGCATCCTCTGTATGAATCCAGCCGAATCAAGATCGCTTGGGAGAAACCTGATAGGTGTGTTTTGACTCTATGCGATTCTATCTTGAAAGATTCTGGCTTGTATTCAGTGACAGCATCTAATGTTGCTGGCTCTGCCACAAGTTCGGCCATGTTAAATGTTGAAGGTGAGTCAATAGTAATTCAACAAGTCTTTATAATATAGCTCTTTTACACTGCATAAAGATATTGGAATAGACATACCAATTTACCTTATTTTTATACTTCAATGAATTTATTATTAAAGACATTAAATACCCTAAACTCTTTTACAATGCAGAATTGGATACAGTAACATTTTTATATAATATCTGATATATATATGTATATATTGACACATTGAACACTTATTGACTGGTTATGAGGGCAACAAATGATCTGTTACCCAAATTCACCAGTCAATAATTGTTTTATTGTCAATAACTGTTTTCAGTTTCACTAAAATCTGGTTAATTAGTACTGTCACATAGTATACTAGCATAAATCCTTGGGCCTAAATGAAATCTTAAAATTTAGAAGTTCATTAAAGATTGTTATCTCATTTTGAGAATCAATATTAAATCAATAAAATTTAGAAATTGTTTAATTTTCAAAATATAACAGCCCATTGTCATATATTCATATATATAAACATATAAAGTATGCACATGTCTAAAATTTGTCTAGAATGCCTAAATGAATCACCGAGTTTTCATTGTGCTGCAAAAAACTGTAAATTGCAAAGTTCTGCTGCTTAAATCTCAAAACACAAGTCTGTCATTTGTCACATGCTTAAAATCATGATGCTTTACATACTAGAACTCTGAATATTACTAAGTATATCTTCTCAAAATTTGGCATACTTTTAGTAAACATTACAAGTCTGTTGTAGAGAAAAGAAATATCAGAATTTCTAATAACGTATGTACAATGAAAATTTGTGTGTGGATTTCCAAAGCCTCTACTGAGTCAATCTGAGTACAAGATAATTTTTGCGCTAAGAATAAAACTAATTTTTATTTTACAATTTTCATGTTTCATTTTCTTAACCTTTAGGACCTCCTAAATAAATATCAAAAGTTTTTTAGGTTGAAAGTTTATATTTTATTTGTTATTTTCTTTACTCTTATGCTAACTTTGGAAAAATTGTGAATGTACAGTGACTTGGAATTTTGAAAATTATAAAATAAAATGAAAAGTATCTTTTTCTTTTTTGAATGAATGATTTGTCTCCATATTTTCAGTTTCATTATCTTCAGAATTTCAATCATTTACCTTTTCACATTTTAGTTTTACTGCTTGGCTTTTACAACATTTTTATTTTTTAATGTTTGAAGAGCGACATATTAAATCAGCAGATTTCAGTACACTTGCATATTTACTCGTGCAGCTTTAGTCTTGTGCACTCATCATAACTACCTAAAACTGATGATTTTCTACGAGTCTCTATTGACACAAAAATTAATTCACTTTTCTTACGTGTATTTTAAAACATAAAACGTTAAATGGTATGGGCATTAACTTGCACAGCAACACATACTTAATGAAATCCTCCTCTAGTGTAATGTCTGTTGGTGCCAATTTCAAAAGGACCATTGAAGACTTTAAAGTTAAAATAAGCTATTTCTATTGGTTATAAACATGTGAATCTACTAAGAACAAGTGGCTTTGAAAATTGCCTTAAAAGTTAAATATAGATGGGTAGGACTTCTGGCATGGGTTGAAAAATTAATTTATTTCCCACTACAGGTAACATTAAGCCTGTAAAGTTGATCTTAAGATTATTTATAGATTTTGTCTGTGATAAGTCAGGCATTGTAGATACTATAATTTTAACGTTACATAAATGTATAGAGGAGAGTTCAGAATGGAGATGCATTATGTGAGACATAGAAGTGAAGACTGAGAATGTTTTCAAATATTTTGTTTTGAAATTAATAGCTTAAAAGTTAGATAATATAAAAATTTGAATTATAAACTACACTGATATATTGATAATAAAGTTGTTTAATTGAATTTTGAATCTTACTTTGTAAAATGTTGGGATATGCACAGAAGAGCTAGGCTTGTAAAACAATTCTGGTGTAGTTGTATCTAAATGAAGCAGCATGTTTACACTGGGCTGCAAAACATTGTCTGCAAAGTTCTGCTATGACTTTATGCACAGATGAAAACTGCATTGATAACTGGGCAACATTGACGTGATTTGTTGTTCAGCTTTTAAGGCATCATTGAAATGTGCTTCCTACCTCGTAATGCACTCTCAGCCAATTATGGCAAAGAATTATGCCATAGGGTAGAATGAAGGTGTATTAGCTCATAAATATTTACAAATTTTTGGGACAATAACATAACTTATAAAGCACCAGTCCAAAGACTGGTTAGAAATTGTGCATGTTGATTTGTATTGATGCAAACAAAATTGTTTAGTTCAACTAACATAGCATTGGAAGAATGAAATGAGAGACATTTTATATCTTATAGTCCAGAAAAAACATGAGATGTAGAATAGGAAATAGTGTACTGGTATCTGACTTACACTAGAAATTTAATTTCTAGCTTAATCATAAGAATTGTTTATTGATAATAGAATATTTATAGCTTTGATTTTTACTGTTACTTTACTGGTGGCATGACTCATATTATAATTTTATTAACATTTTTAATGTTTGCTATAGAATCTGAAAAAGAGTATTCTCTCCGGACATACAGTTACCCTCATATAGTGAAACCAAAAACTGATCTGTTTGAAGGCTTGTACGACATAGGTGATGAGCTTGGCAGGTAAGCTTCTCATAAATAGAAATAAATAGTTCAAGTCTTGTGTCAACTTTTCACATGTGTTTTTCTGACAGATAAGCTTTTCTGTAGTATTTTTGAGCAAACTGCAAGTTTTTGTGAAATATGTCACAAGAATATCTTGTATATTTTCTCAGAGGAACCCAAGGTATTGTTTACCATGCTGTGGAAAGAACATCAGGGAAAAGCTATGCTGCAAAGATGATGCATGGTAGTGGAGTACTGAGAGATTTTATGAATACTGAAATGGACATCATGAATCAGCTGTCTCACCATCGCTTGGTGCGATTGTGGGATGCCTTTGAAACCAAGTCGTCACTCACCCTTGTTACTGATCTGTATCCTTTCACAGTAATTATTGTTTTAGTTTGAATGGTGTATATAGGCTGTTGTAATAAAGCTACATGTGCTCATAAACAGAATGTTCAAGGCTGTTGATGGTGAGAGGGAAAACATTTTCAGGTCAGGGAAAAGCAGGGAGTTTTATACTAGATCATATAAATCTGATATTTAACTAATAGTCATGGAAAAGTCGTTGAATCACAAAATGGCTTGTTTTTTTTTTTACTTTTGTTCTGGCTATAGCAGTCTTTAGATATCAAATATATATATACAGTATTTAATATCCAGTATATGTTCACTTATACAAAAACGTATTTTTAAAATATTCAAATGATCATTATAGTTTATCAATTGAATAAACAGCAGAAATGGATGGTATGAGGGGTGATTGGAGACCATTAAAAATATTTTTTGTCTCATTTTGTTCAGGGGAATTTTTGTTTTGTCATATGTCTGAGGATCTTAATGTTGTATTATAGACTTTGTTAATCAAATCCACACCCCTTTTTATATTGTATTGTTATCAATACATCAGTCTTTGTTTTAATTTATTGCACACATGTACATCAGTTTGAGTAAAAGAAAATACCTAGAAAGATAGTATATGTTTGTAGGTAAAGACAATGCTGTTATATCAGATTCTCCCTTAACTTTGGATAAAGCTGTGGTGGAGGTGAATTGCTCAACAACATTCTTCAGAGGACAGTGCTGACAGAAAGCGAAGTAGCTTTTTATATTAAGCAGGTGTTAGAAGGCCTAGAGTATATGCACAGCAAAGACATTGGCCATCTTGGTCTTACTGTACGTTTTTTAAACTATTATGTGAAATGCTCAAAGTAGTTTTTAATTTTATACATTGAATTTTTTTTTTATTGCTGTTACATGATAATTTAGTTAGATGAAAAAATAGATAAATCTGTGCACATCCTGTGCCCCAAGTTCATTCTAACCAAAAGTTTGTATTCTTGATTTTCGAGAATGCTATTAAACTGGAGTGTTTTGTGAAAAAACTTTTTTTTATTTTTTTACAACAACAAATCCACTAAAAGTAAACTTTATTGCTTGATATTTTACCTTACAGTAAACTCCTGATGTAGCTGTAAGGTGAAATATTGAGCAATTAAGAAAGTTTTCCTTTACTGAAATTGTTGTTGTGGAATAACAAAGAAATGCAACCAAAAGTTGTTTGCTAAATTAATGTTTTTCAGTCTTTAAATTTCTATATTACTAATATGAATCGACAAGATGTTGAGGATTTTTTGTACTTTGTATTAGGTATTTAACTGTTTCAGTGTTAAATTAACCTCTAAATATATTTATGTAACTACAACTGAACTGTAAAAGCAGGATGAAGTCTTTTAGCCACAAAATGCCATGTTATCTTTATATCCAGTGCTTATATGAGAGCGTAGTTAAGAATTTGTGTGTTTGTCTTTCCTTCTTGCAATCATGCATAGTGCTAATAAGGTGATTTGGTTGAGGTTAACATTATGAACAGACTAAATAATGAGGTTTGTTTTCTTTTACATTGTCTTCTTCAACTCCATGGCTAAAATAATCAAGTAGAAAAGAGTTTGACCTTGTACATAAGATCCTATTAATAGGTCCACTGCTTAATTCTTTTTTTTATTATTTCTGGTAAATTTGGTATCAAGTTAAGCTTTTATTGGTAAAAACTGTCTTTACAATTAGTTGTATTGTATTTTTGAATTTTGAGGACCATATTTTGTGTCTATTGTTTTTATTATGTACTTACAGGACTATAACAACAGGTTTGGTGTTGAAGTTTTATTTCTTCATGTCTTAATAGAATTATAAGTAACAACTTCGGTGTTGAAGTTTTATTTCTTCATGTCTTAATAGGACTATAATTATCAGGTTTGATGTTGAAGTTTGTATTTCTTTATGTCTTAAAAATATTATAACTAACAAATTTGATGTTGAAGTCTGTTTTTGTGCATGTTTTATTATCCAATTGAATTCTCTTCTTAGAGATTTTAAGGATGTTTAATTTTAATTTTTTCCCATAGGTTGGTGAGTTATTAGTGACTCGTGTAAACAGTGATGTTATCAAGATTGGAGACTTTGGGCTGGCTAGACATCTGCATCGAGGTAGAGACCATTATGTAGAGTATGGCCACCCAGAGTTTGTAGCCCCTGAGATAGTGGCAAAGAAACCTGTCTCTGTAGCTGCAGATATGTGGTGAGTTGTAATTCCTCTATAAGAATACTTAAACCTCCTTCATTAGGCCCATTATTTGAGTTAAGAATCCAAACAACCAGAATTATAAGCGACTTGTTTTTGAATCAGGATTAAGATTTTGATTATTATGGCTATGTATTGATTTTCATATATATTTCTACTTTAGATTGTTACAGAGTACTTTATAGCATAGCTAGTGCTTAAAAACTGCAGATTAGCTCTTTACTAAGAAGGAAGGAGATAAGGAAAGTTTAACATTGTCATAAAGATAAAATTTAAATTTAAATAACAAAAACTTATGTTATACAAGCATTAGTTTTAAACATACAGTTGCATCAAAGTTAGATAAATTGGATTTTACTTTATTTTTTGCAATCCTAATTATTTTTTATTCTTATACAGGAGCTTAGGAGTGATAACCCACTTGTTGTAAGTATGATAGTTTTGTGATAACCCACTTGTTGTATGTTTGATAGTTTTATATGAATTATTTTATAGTATCTGCTTGAATATATTTTGAAATAAAGATGATGAAATTTTTTTTTAATTTAAATTATTTTCACTAATAAGGATTGGTTACTTATTGCTGATATATAGAAATATTTGAAAAGATCTAGCTTAACTAAAATATAGTATATTTTTGATACATTCTTAATAGTATTAAAACTATTCTGTGCAATATAATTTAAACTATGGTAGCTGGTGATAATATGTATGTCTCCCTTATAATCTTAGGATGTGAAAGATTAATATCCAGTGTTTATAAGGCACATGCAAAACAAAGTATTACAAATGTCTTATCAAATTCCATTATTTTCCATTTCCCATTATCATATAGTGCTAATAGTCATAAAAAATTACACATTTTTCTACTAAATTTAAGTCTTTATGAACCACAATGTAGTATGTTTTGCAGGTAACTTTAATGTCTTAATATTCAAGGATCTTTATGAATCTGCACAAGTTTTCACAAACAGACTCGTATATTATGGAAACTGAGGACATGGTCTGTTTTTAAAACCAGATAATGTTTACTTTCTGCTGGCAAAGTAAATAATTTCATTTCTAAATCAGACTAAACTGTATCCATCGTTGAACAAATCCTTGTGTCTTTTAGAGTATTATGTAGTATTAAAGAGATGCATTTCAAACTCTATATTTATTTCAAGTAATTATATTTATGTGGAAGTATTTATATTGTAGCACATAGGAATCCATCCCCATAAAACTAATCTACACACTGTTATCTAAAGATGGTTTGGGAAGATAGTGCCTGCAGAGATTGCACTGAACTATGTTTCATTTAATCTTATGTGCATCAATAAGTACTGAAGCTAAAACTTCATACGTGATTAGGTTGAGTGGCTGCTCCCCTTTCCTGGGAGAAAATGACAGGGAAACATTGAATAAGGTACGAGAGGGTAAATACAGCTTTCTGTTGGATGGATTTGCTGAAGTTACTGATGAAGGAAAAGACTTTATTTCCAAGCTATTGGTTTATGAGCCAGAGTAAGTGCCAAACATATTTAGCTTTTTCATATTTATTCTCATGTCTTAATGGTCCTTCATTTAACTTAGTTTAAACTAATGCTGTCATGATCATTAACACCTTTTGTACGCTTTTTTTTATAGTTAGCTTTTAAAAATGATATTTTATAGTTATCAAGACGAAGAGTGAGTCTTACCTTATTATTTGATATTGATAAACACAATATCTTTTCCTGAAAAACAAGCTACCATTATATACAGATATTGAACAAAAGGCTACCTTATTTATTTTTTATAATAAGAATGTAACTAAATACAGAAATAAGTTTCAGAAAGTTCGTGGTGAAATTACTTTAGAATATATAACACTTGAAGAAGAAAGTTCTACCTTTTGAAAGTGTTTCAGCTCTTGGGTTCTTGTTTTGGGGTTTATCCTTTGGATTTTCCTAGTGTTATAATTATAGAATTTTAATTTTACATGGTGCTGCACGATGCTGCTGGATTTTCAGATGTTGTAAATCAAATTTATAACAACTTTAATAACTTTTTCCTGCATTTGAACAGGAGCTGTTACTAGTAAGTCTATGATTATCATCCTAATTTAAAATGTAGATGTACTTTATTGTAGCAATCTAGAAAGAAACAATCCAAATAATCTTATGTGATGAACTGTTGTGTTTTGTTACCATCTTTGATACCTTAACCATAAAATTACCAATGGGATTCATATGGACATTATTGGCTCTTTGAACCCACTTTCATGAAGTATAAAACCCAATTTCTAATGGGTCCATGACTATGTTGATTATAGTGTTCCTAATAAAGTATGAGCCACATAAAAGAATGTAAACATAAATACTTCCAATACTGCAGTTAATACCATTAATTACTAGTGGAGTATCCTGACACACAAATTAAGTATTTTCACCCAATTTGTTTTGGCTGATTCTTACACTGCCAATATGGTGTAATATATAGACCCCCACTAAAAGTATTAAAAACAAGTCAGTAATTTAAGGGTTATATGTAATTTTCCTGAATCTAGTACCTTTTCGTATGTCATTAGTTAGTGGAATAATTTAATATACTGCAGGGTTTTATTATTATTATAATGTATACTTTAATACAAACAAATGATTAATGATCCTGTCTTGTTTTATGTTTCCTACAGAGGGAGACTTGATGTTAAAGCAGCTTTAGAACATCCTTGGTTGAAGGTATGAAATACAATATTCAATTCTGTTTATAGTTTTGGATCATGACAAATGTAATCCTTGATAATTACTTGGTTTAGTTTTGTTACTTTGTACTTTTAAGTAAAAGTAAAAGCTTAATGAAGTTTTGAATCGATGCAAACAGGTTTGTATTTATCAGGTTAGTATGATATATATAATTACACCTCATGCATGAATAACCTACATTGAACTGCCCATGTCCTCTTTAGAAATATTAAACAATTAAATAAAGTGTTAAAGATTTCTTTTATTTTCTACCAAAGGTTTTGATGCAATGACATAACATTATTCACATACCTAAGTTAACTTAGGTTATTATATGGAGAATTAAAAAGGACTCAAAATCCCATAGAAATTAGATAAAGCATTCAAATATCAATATTAGCTAAAGTTTCATTTTAATTTGAAGTTAATATCTCAAATAGTTTATATTCGTGAATGTGCAATAACTGACATTTTAATTTTCATAAAGATTAATTTTCTTAAATATTAAAGTTTAATTGTTAATATTTTATTTTAGTTTGCTGAAGTTCCTGGAAAGGCAGATGAACTAAATATTTTGGACAGTTTGAGAGACTATGCCAAAAAGTGGAAGAGTTGGGTAAGTAAATATTTACACACATCTCTGTGCATTTGAAAAATCTTTAAAAAGAAATATTCACTTCTATTTAATAAACATTTGAAAAAAAAGTTTAAGCTTATTATGTATATATATCAGCTGTTTAAATTGCTGTTTTGGTCATGAGTATTTGGTTTGTCATAATGGAAAAATGTCTTAAAAGAAAGGCTCAGTCAGATGTCCCATAAACCTTTGAAATTCTGTAAAACCAAAACTATTTCCAGGCTTTGAAAACACCTGTAATAATGGCAATAAGGCTCTTGTCATGGAGAAGCAGTAGAAAGCTTGTGTTTACAAACTGCCAATTCTGAAAATTATTTGAAGTCTCTGTTGCCATAGTTGTTAGGTGTACTGACATAAAGTGTTGGTTTAGACAATGATTTATAAGGTTAATAGTTATTCTGGTATATTACTGAAACATAAAACTCTTGTTTGAGTGAAATAGAATATAGGAATACATACTGTAAGGGACTTTATGAACTGCAAAACATGTATAGTTCTGACATTCTGTGCTTGCTTCACAAAACAACATTTATTTCTGGTTTAAATATGGTGATTAATGTTTATATAAACAACTATTTGATGAAATTGCTCTGCAAACATTATGTTTAATTTTGACTTCAAAATAAATGTAAAAAAAGATGTATTTAAAACTAAATATGTTGCAATGACTGCTGTGAAGGCACACAATAAGAAGGAAAGGCCTAGTTGCAATGACTGCTGTGAAGGCACACAATAAGAAGGAAAGGCCTAGTTACCTTTTAAACAATCTTTGCTTAAGTCTACAGGTTTTTTCATTTTGAAAAAAGTATTTGAATTTTGTCCTGGCGATCTGTGACAACCCTGTCAATACAACAACATTTTTGAGTTTGATGTTTTGTCCACTAAATCCACCAGTTAAAGTCTGTCACTTATTCAATGTCAACAATTATAACTGTTCAATCATAACATAAAGTTTTCACTTTGTTGATGTTTTTATCATACTGCAGGTGGATGTGTTTGTTATTTAATTTAATATTTGCTTTTTTTCTTAGTATGCTAATGCATCCTGCAGACGATTTTATAGAAGGCGACCTCTCGAGTCTTGTTATACTCATCCTAGTCGAATGATTTACCCACCTGATGAAACATATACACCTCCTAGTAGCCCTGAGCGCCACCTTCAGCGATCCAGAGTAAAGCCATCTGAGTTTGATGATGTTACCTTTCAACAGAGGATCACGAGAGAACCTATTGATGTGCGATCTGAGAGCCGGTACAACTTTCTTTTCACAAATAAAATTTGCTATCACTAAACAGGGCTCTCACAAAGTTGTAAAAAAAAAGGTCAGGGATTAAAAAGAAAGTAGAAGTAGAATCTGAGGGTTCTTCTCTATTGGGGGTTGTAGGAGCAATCCCCAATATAAGAAACTGATTTTTAGCAATTCAGTAGAAATGAACTTGATGGAATCTAGGAGGTTTTTTTACTTGTTTTTCTCAAATATGTTTAACAATTTCCTTTCAGAACATAATTTTCAATCTTCTGATTGAATAAAAATATTTTTTTAGTTGGTATTAATCACTAGGCCTTTATTTAAAAAAATAGGGCTAGATATACTTTCATTAAAAATCAAGTTTTCACTTAATTTCAGAATCTTACATTTTTCTTGTCAACAATGTTATATTGAAAACTGGAAAATAAAAGTTGTGTAAGTAATAAAACCCACAGTTGAGAGTCAGTGAAAATGATGTACTCAAAATGTGTTTATTGAAATGACATTATAGTTTTATTTATAAAAAGAACTCTTAATAAATGTTATAACATGTAAAAAAAAAGAAAAAAAGAAGCAGAATAGTTACTACAAGTATACATGTTAATGGACACTGAGATAATATTCTACTTACTGTGATCCTAAAACAAAGTACAACTTTTGTTGAACAGGATCAGGCTTAACATTTATCAGGGTTTGATCCCAAGCATTATTTATTGAATATTCAGTACTTCTACAGTCTATCTTGTGCTTCCATAGTATTAAATAATCTGAGTTACAAAGAGCTCTTTAGGGTTAAATGGTTAAACAGACCAGATTCAAGAGTCTACCTAATTCATTCAGGGCAATTGAAAAACATGGAGCTTATTCACAGTCAAATAGTACAGGATAACAGACACATTTCATGCATGGAAAATTATGTATGTGTAAAATAGAAAAAGTTACCCAATTCTCAACAAACTGTAAAGGATGAAAGATCTAAATTCAATTTTGAATGTTTGTAAAAAAAATGGTAGGTATAAACATGAAAATAGCTAGATGCAGAGGCAAAATGGCAGGAGGAAGCTCTTATGTAAAGCTTATTCTAATTACATTTTGTCTTTTTCAACTACTTCAGTTGCTATCTTAAATGGGTAGTAATCATGTTACACCTTTGTTTTTATCAGTTTGTCTAATGCCACTTTTGAAATGGGTTACAGTTAGTGATTAGTTTAAGATTTGACATGAACGTGATGATTTATGAATTGTAGAGTAATTCTGTCTTTGAGCCTTTGTTATTGATTTCTGTATGAAATTTGAAATGAAACTAAGTAACATGCTTGGAAACTCTTTATTATAAAGGAGCTATGAAACTCTCATTTGAATAGCTCTCTTCTTTGAATACCTATTAAATTTAATTAGAACTACAGAATTATCATTGAAGTGTTTGATTGACGTATTATAATATATATTTATTTTCAAAATTTCATTCAGATATGAAAGTGGGCCAGACTCGTACCTTTTACAGCATCGTGATGTTGACTTCCCAGTTCGAGTAAGACGCTACTTGAAGGTGGGTGCAAACCGTAGTTCAACACTAGCCGGTCATTTAAAAGAGAAACACTGGGGAAATAGTGAGGTAAGACACACCGTATAGTATTAATATAAATAATTAACAAACAAGTAGCTGTTTAAAAAGTTTTTTTAATGGTGTTTGTATTCAGTTCTTCATAACAGAAACTTACAGGGATTATGAAACTACTTGCATAACGTTTTAAATAAAGCACTATTAAAACTGTCAATGCTTTAACTTCTTTAAAAGAAACGTCAAGTAACTGTTTTTTTTGTATTTTATAAGAGATGCATGTAATTTGACTTTGATTTGTTCATCTTAAATAGGAATGATGGTAGTGTAAAGATAAGTTTTTCCTGTAAAAGAAAAATATGGTAATTGACATGCTGATATGAGGCTTAGCTCCATAAAATAGAGATAAGAAATAAAATTCATGCACTTTAATTTGTACACATTGACATGTTGATAATGGGTTTATCTGCTTAAAAGGAGGACATGAAATAGTTGTGCACATCGATACGTTGATAATAGTTGTAGCTACATAAAACGTAGATATGAAATAAAGTCATGCACTTTAATCTATACAAGTATATGTACAGTTTATAATTGGTTTTATATAGTCAGCATAAAAGAAAAACTAACACAATTTTTCTAAGTACACCCAATTGTTTTAAATATTCTAATCCATAATAGATTTTTTTTACATTAAAAATGGATAATGTGTTATTTTTGTTTGGTGGTTATCAGTTTCTGGGAAACTCATACAAATCTATAAACCCTTTTTTTATGTGTTAAAATATATTTTCTGTAAATTTATTATCTGAATAATGCTAATTAAACATGTCTTTAAGATATAAAAAACTTTACACATGAATATCAAATATTCATCTTCCAAAAACTTACATTTTTGATGATCTGAAAAATATATTTTACCACATAAAAAGGTATACTTTATTGTAAAAGTAATACCAGTAGAACTTGGTAATGTTTGAAGTTTTGTGAATATAATCAGTTTTCTTACAGGCACAATGTTAATAAGTTTCAGTATTATAGCATGTTGTTTAAAGTAAATGTTTGATGTGTTTTCTGTTTGTCGAACAATAATTACTATTTAGATTTTTCTAATATAAATAGGTCATTTTGTTAATAACTATATACAATGAAGTATTGCTCTTTTTTTCTTTGCAGTTTTAAGGCATTTATTAACATATGTGTATAAGTTGTGAATTCTCTAAGGTTTCAGTACACGAAAGACGTCGATTCACACGCCTTTGGGATGAAGAAATGGATGATGAGAAGAGGAAAAGAGGCAGAGCTTTACGGCTCTCACAAGAATCAGGACCTACATACCTACATACAGATAGTACAAAATCAAAGGATAGAAAAGAAGATCTAGTGGGTTAGTAACAAAAGTCTAGCTTACGAGTTGTGATTGTGAATTTTGGTATTATAAATTTAGTGAACTTAATGATTAAAGCAGTTTAAAAAGTTAAATTTATTAGTGGTTTTCTCAAATGAATTTGTTTGTGCAGTCTAACTAAATGATGATGTTGGTGCATAAAATCTAGCTTTTCTTCAGTTGATATAAAAGTTACAGACTTCATGAAATAGTAAAACTTGAGGGTTTGTATGGCAGACATACAAACTGTATAAAAGTGGCAATAATTTCCACAATTACTCATAAGTTCAAACAGTGGGCTGAACTTCTAAACTAAGCTAATATCAAACATATTGATCATGTGAACGTGCTTTATAGTCACTACGAGAAAAACCTATATGGTGGAATACTAAGTTTACGTATTAAGCTAATATTAGTTATGGAACATACCATATTAAGCTTGTGTGACTCGCTAACAGTATGAAACAATAACAGTTTTTTTAAAATAGAGTAATACTGAATAACAAAATGCAACACACTATGCCAAAATATCACTATTATAAACAATAGACTAGCTAGTAATCACAAATATGTAAAGGCACATCCAAGTACAATCAACCATGAACTTTTAAAAGGACTATTACATTTATATCAAGTTCTAATAGAGAGATTCATAACTTATTTCAACAACTCTGACTTGTTTAATAATTTAGTGTAATCTTTTAAACTCTGATCTAATTCATAGCTTAGTGTCACGGAAAATAATATAATTTAGTCAGGTTCTTTCAGTATATGTCAGATGTTGTGTATATCAGGTTTCTTTGTTATGACAGAATAAGTGTCAGATGTTGTGTATTTCAGGTTTCTTTGTTATGACAGAATAAGTATCAGATGTTGTGTATTTCAGGTTTCTTTGTTATGACAGAATAAGTGTCAATGTGTGAAATTTATCAAGTCAAACCTTACTGTAAACTGATCAGAGTGCACAACTTGAAGCTGTTTAAAATTTAGGCTGTTAATGAAGCAATGCTGATTTTAAGATGACCAAAAAACACAAAATTCCTGTTCACATCATTGTATCTTTTTTTTTAACCCATGAGCAGCTCTTTGAATTGTGTTTCTTGCCCCCTTTTCCTTCTTCAGGAAAACCACCTTTTTTCCGTGAAAAGATTAAAGATGCTGTGATTCGAGACGAAGAGGATGTAGTGTTCAGCTGTTATGCTGTGGGAAATCCAGCTCCAACCTACTCATGGTTTAGGAATGATGGATTTCTTGTGGTAACCAATCGATTTGAGGTACATAAAGAGAGAGCTTTGTTCTCTGAAAGCATTCAGGATTGTTACACATGCTTGGTTTGATTTATGTTATTGACAAGTTTACAGAAATATAGGACATTTGCTTTGAGTGTAGTCAGGTTTTATATATATAGCCTGACTACACTCAAATTTAATTCATTTTTTCAAATGTAAGTTGAAATTTTTTACAGAATTGACCAGTTCAAAATATATATAAAGATTAATGTTTGAGGTCATACTAAATATTTTCTTTTACTAAGTTGTTTTTTAAAAGTTATAATATGTTTTTCATGTTTTTTGGTATTATTCTTTTTTAAGCTATAATTTTTTTATTTTTACTTCCTGTTCATCATGTCTAGTCTAAAGTGAGTCTTGATGGTCGATGTGAACTTCATTTAAAGCCAGGCAAAAGTTATGATGCTGGTGTGTACAAATGTATTGCTCAAAACAAACATGGTGCTACCATCTGCCGGGCTAGGCTAAAAATGGGAGGTGAGTGTTAGCTAAAAAAACATCATATTATGTAAAAAATAATTATTTTGGTCTTTGCTAGTAGCAGAAACATCTGTTGATAAAATATTGGTTATTTCAGAACTCAGTGTGTAAAGAACCCTTATGTAAAACAGATGAATAGTAACTTTCTTGTAGCTAAGGATTAGTAATAATGTCCTTTTTTAATGTTATTCATGATTTAGAAACTCCAGGGAAAACTGACCGTCCAAACCCAGAAAAATGTTCCGACACAGAAGTGACACTCAGTTGGCATCCACCTAAATATGATGGCAACTCTCAAATATTATGTTATTGTTTGGAGTATAGAACAGCAGGTTAGTTCCATTTCTCTGTTTTCTGAGTTCCAGATAAGCTAACATGTTACTTTCTTTTCTTGGCTAAGTAATTTTACAATTTCCTTGAAAGGGTATAAACTAAAAGAATTATCAACGCAATTGAAATATACTGATAAAAGACTACCTACTCAATTGGAGTTTGAAGAGAAATAACAGTGATTGATCAAGTAAACAAATTTACTTGCAAATATCTAGATTTTAAAATTTCATTAAATTAACCAGTTTCTTCAGAATGTGCATGAAATATTGCTATAACTCAAGTGAATAGTCAGTGAGATAGTGATTGTTGTACAAACTTTCAGAGAAAGGCAACAGTAAATCTAGGCTTAGTGCTGGAATTTTTATAATGAACCATGATAGTGGAGCACCTTAAACAGTAAAGATTCAGTTCAAACAACACTTTATTTTAAGACCTTTACCATTATTGACTGCTAAGGTTGTACACATATTAAACTACACAAAAAGTATACATGTTAGATTTACAAGGAAATAAAAATTCGCTCAAAACAGCCTATTTGTAATCGTTCTTCTTCTCATTATTATTCTCTAGCCAGCCTACAACAAAAATGGCTTGGTATATTGCACCAAAACCTTTGGTAAAATACTAAATAAGGTACTGCAAAAGTTGTAGGGGTGTTGAAAACTCGACTTGTTTCTTTATTTTACATAAGCTAAAACATCATAATTATAGTATAAATGATGTTATCATTACCTCTTGAAGTTAGCTTTCTTACATATAAATGGTGTTCCTTTAAAATGCTTAAATACAGGGTGAAACAGGAATTACCAGCCAATAATAGATGAAAATTAGATTACTGTAACATGTACAATGCTTTGTACACTATAGAATCTGTATCTTTAGGGAGCCAACCCCTATATTATGTATAATATTAAATTTTATTACACACATTCTTAAGATAATTACTTTAAAAGGCATAAAGTTTTATTTAAAGCAATGTTTTAGACATATATGTTTTATTTGAAAAGGCTGCTTTTCTACTGGTAAAAGTTTATGTGTGCTTTGTGGGGGATGTCTTAGTCTAGGCATATATTTGCCCATTGCTATGCATTATATACAGAAAATTAAGTTAAGTAGAAACTATAAATGCTCACTATATTCTCAAATCTCCATGACAATCTCCAGCTGCAGCTTAACATTTTACATCTTGAACTAATGTGATCAAATAGTCAATAGCTACAGTAAATCATGAACCATATCAGCTAGCTTATTATCATTACAATAGCTAAAGTTAGCTACCATATCAAGTAATCCTTTGCCTATAGTTCAGCATAAAAAAGCCAACAAACAAAATAAATGAAAAAATTGGGAATTTAAAAACTTGCAAATATGGATCATAAAAAAGTAAGGAAACAAGGTTGGGGATACTGTCGAAATTATTTACTCAAACTACAAATTCCTATTTTGACTCGACCAAATGTAATTCTAGGTAACAGCATGGAGCCAAACTTGGGGTTTGTAGTTTGAGTAAATAATGTCTACAAATGAGTTATGCAAAAAAGATTTAAACAGTAATACCCTCAGTACTTCAATACTGTATTTAATCACACTAATTACTGCTGGGATTCCCTGTGTATTTTACACAGAAGAAGAGTAATTTCACCTAATTTTATTTTTTGGTGAGTACTTTACGCTTAATGTTGCAATGGGCAAAAACATAGTATTATTCAATGTAATACAATATGTGTATATCCCCACAAGTAGTGAATCATATAGAAACAAGTCAGTAAATTGAGTGTTAAGAAATACGCACTTTACTGTTGTTATCAGAAGATAGTGAACTGACATTTAAAGTAGACAATGTCATCAGTAGTTTGCTACACTTGTAATTTATTTGTGAATTTGTTATAGTGGTGAATGTTTTGTACATATTTATTTTAAACTTTTAATTCTTGTGTACCATGTATACAAGTTCAAATGAACATGCTACTTTTTTGATTGAGGTATGTTAATTTTGCTCATGTATTTTTTCATTTTTGACTTGGTATACGATGCTGTCATGTTCTGAACTTGTAAGATTATTCGCATATCAAGTAAGTAATTAAAAATTTTCAGATTTGCTTGTAATAACAATTTCAAAGATTATTTTCATATGCCTTTACATATATGTTTTAAGTCTTCATTATTACAGTAGTATTTTTATTTTCTAGATGAAACAACATGGACAAAAGCATCTTCTAATATCACCCATGAATTTTTCATGGTACGTAATTTGACACCATCTACTACTTATCACTTCCGTGTATCGGCCAGGAACAAGTTTGCCTGGGGCGAGGCCAGTGAACCTTCTGAGCCTTGTGACACTCTGGCAGCTGGTAAGAGTAAATTTTTTAAAATTATTCTTATCGTAGTTGTCTCCTAATAGTATCTTTATGTAAACATCTGTGAACTAATAGTACTTGTCTAGCTTTTTCTGTAAATGTTTACTTATTGAAAGTGTGCTAGAAAAAAAGTGTTAAAAAATTGTAATATACTGTTGATCATGCATGCTCCAAAAAGTAAATATTACTGGCATGAATACAAACAGTACTCCACTTTAGCATGGAAGAGTTTCAAAATAATTCAAATTCTGATATTACCTCAGGTGCTGAGAAAATAAAGATCACTAGAGCTCAGAAACATTGGCAGGAGCTGTCTTTGAAAGGTCAAGACCTGATTTTAGATGATTCATTAACATGCAGGTTGGACTATTCTGTTGAAGAAAATCCTGTCCCTATGGAAGATAAAGATCCTACTCAGTTTTACAACTTTGAATCAGAAATAGCAAGGTTTGTTGTCCAATTGCAAAGCATTTTAAACTAATTTGTATAAGCTCTTTATAAATATTGGCAATACAAGAATGTGATTATTTCAGGCTCTTAACATAGATCAATATCAACATTGTGTTGCTGAAATAAACAATTTATCATTTTTATATGGTTAAAGGCCCTCCAGTGGTGCAGCTCTAAGTCTGAAGATACATAATTCTAAAATTTGGGTTTTGATATCTATGATGAGCAGAGCACAGATAGTCCATTGTGTAGCTTTGTGTTTAACAACAAACGAATATATATCTGGTTTAGGTTGTTTAGAAAGGAACATAGAAAATATTTTTAAAAGGGTTATTTAAATTACCAGAAATTAAATAACAGCAGTAGAACTAATTACAAAGTATGCTTTTAAAAATGAGACAGTTGGGACTTATTATTTGTGTACAGTAGATACTATATATTAGTCTGTAGAATGGTTATTGTAATAACGTATGAATTATAAGTAGGAGGTAATAAATAAATGTATGTTTCTTTTTAAAAAAAAATATAACAAGAGTGTTTTTCTGTTAAATTTCTTTCCTCCCAGGGGACGATTTTCTGTTGTTGTGAAAATGAGTACAAAAGATACCAATCAAATATTTGCTGGAAAAATCATTCACACTACAAATCAAAATGAAACTGAAGTGCGTAGGGAGTATGACATTCTCAAAACCTTGAGGCATGAAAAAATTGCATCTCTAATTTCAGCAGTGTCTCACAATGATCTGACAATTCTGGTGTTTGAGAAGTTGTCTGGTATTGATGTCCTTTCATACCTAACTATGAGACATCAATATAGTGAAGAAACTGTGATGAAAATAATCCAGCAGGTACGTGTCTTTACAAGTGAATGAATATTAACAGAGTATAAGAATACATTGTAAGTCAGTGGAAACTGTTTGTTATGTGCCACATTCTCCGGAGGTCTGTGTGTTTTAACTAGTCCAAAAAATTGTGTTAACATCTTTCTTTTTTATCTTTTAATATATTGAAAAATAATATTTCTTGATGATCTAACTATAATCTCCTTGCTAGATTGTACTGTATGGATGTATTAGCATTTAATATCAATTTTTGAAATTGAAACTGCATTGTTTTCAGAGCTGGTTGCAACTTAAAAGTTGAAGATAATCACCTTAACTTAAGTTTGTTTTTGAACTTCATTTTGCTTGGTTCAGCCCAGCATGGCCAGGTGGTTAGGGCACTTGCAATCTGAAGGTCGCAGGTTTAAATCCCCATCCCACCAAACAGACTCGCCCTTGAAGCCATGGGGGGCATTATAAAGTGATGGTCAATCCCACTATTGGCTAGCTGCCTTCCCTGTAGTCTTTCACTGCTAAATTAGGGACAACTAGCACAGATAGCCCTTGTGTAGCTTTGTGTGAAATTTGAAGCAAACCAATCCTGCTTGGTTTTCTATCATATTTCTTTTAAAAGTGTTAGTAAATGTTGAAAATACTCACTATATATGATTTTTTGCAGCTTCTCTCATATCAAAGACAAGTGATGTAACAAAAACATAGATTAGGGTTGCCATGTTTAAAGCAAGACAAATGTTTAGATAAGTATAGGATTAAGCACAAGTATGAAGGTCATTTGTGGATAAAAAAGACAGTAAATGTTTTTTGAACTGAAGGTAGTAGATCCTGGTGTAAGAAGTATAAGAAACACAATAAATAAAGGTATGTTCATCTGTAAGACTGGAGGCTCATATTATTTATTCAAAATGTTTTTAAAACATAGTTAAGGGGTTTAATAAAAAATATATTTTTCCAAAATAAATACATGTGATAGTATTAAAGTAAATGTAGATTTATGATTGATGAAGATATAAAAATGTTATTTTTATAGATTCTTAATATTTAAATGTAAGTACGGCAAAAAAAACAACTATTTATTCAAAAGTAAATTTAATAATAACATTTTTACTATTTAGATTCTTTAATTTAGAAAATATTAATGAACACAATCTTTAAGTTTGTAAATGACAAATGTGTTGCTAATCTGGTCATGATACAATTATAGTATTAATTTTTCTGGATATTGTTCTATTCAGTTCTGTTCACGATTACAAAGGAATACACTTTTTAAGCGCCTCCATCCCCAAAAATTCAGCACTTAATATAAAGGCACATATTTCTATAAAATTCAAAATCAAAACATACCAAAAACTTGATCAGCCAAATGTAATTTATTGGTACATTATAAGTTTTAAGAATTATTTCTTTATGAAAATGATCAGAAAGTGAACCAAAACCTAGCAAATATATGATTGCATGTGCCAGTATTTGAAATTGCCCTACAGACTATTCTAATGGGAATATTCCTTTTATATATATATTATAAAGCAATTTTAAAATTGTGACCGATCCTAGACAGTCTTTAATATATATATTTCTTAAGAAATTAAAATTTTTAATTAAATTTTCTTTTGAACAGTGGGAATTCAGTCATAGTTAAAGCTAATCTTCTAATATTTAAAAAGACAATTTTATCTTTTAGAATAACATATAAGCTAGTGATATTCTGTTCTTTACTGTTAGTTTCACTGACAGTATTGGTTAAAATGCTCAATATACGTATATATGTATATTTATGAAGGTAATATTTCATCACTAGTTTAATATATGTATTTAAGACTAACTCAAATCTTCTTAATTTGTCCTTACCTCATGAGATATTATTGGGGTTACAGCCAAAAATATTGCTAATAGTACATTCTAATCATTATAGGTTTTTGTTTTGTGGTATTGCATATTCTTAGTTAGATGGATATATTAAATCTGATCAGAAATTGTTGATAATTTTTAAGTTTTTCAATTTTAAAATTTTGAAGTCTTCAATTCTTCTACGGGAAAATTTTAATCTAGTTATAGATTAATAAGTATATAAATGAGAAAGGATTACATCAGACATTCTAGCTATAATATTATAACTTGTGCCATGCAATGAGGGAATACGTAATACGTGGAGAGATTTCAAAAACTGATTAAATAAGAAACAAAATACATTTTTAGAAGTATTAGAAAAGGTAAAACTTTTTATGTCAGATAATTAGTAAGTAAATAGAAAGATTTAGATAATGTTATCAAGGTAAGAAAAAAAGTTATTTTGTTTAAAGCTTTAAACTATGAATATTTTCCAAGTGTATTAGTTTAACTTTAATAAACATTTATTATTTTATCTTTCAATGTACATTTTATTTAGTTTCTTATATTAAAAATAAAGTAAGCAGTTTTTAAATTCTTGTGTTACGTTCACAAAATGTTATGGGTGGGACAAGTAATGGTTTTGGTCAGATATATTGGATTTTGGATATCCAGCCTGCGACATATGAGCAGATTATGATATTTTTGGATTTGGACGTGACCTTACATATTGAAAATGTGCTGCAGATGTGAGCTACTGCTTCATTATAATAAAATATTTAAAGTAGTTACTTAATCATTGTTTTTCCAAAATTTAATAAGAATGTAACACATGGTGTATAGTTCCACAAGAGTGTGAGGCCATTGCTGGCCCTTTAAGGGAATTCTGTACATGGGGTTGTGAAACAGGGATTTTTTTTCTCTGATCTCTTGTTGAGACTGTTTGGATTGTAATTGTTGTTACTGTTGCTACCATGACTGTGTCATACAGTACAATACAATGGATGGTGCATTATTTGATCAGATTAGATATTGGTTCCATCTTGAAAATTTCAGCAGTATTTTATTTGTGTACTTGATTTCAGCATAAAGGAATTTAACTTGAACTTAATGAGATTCTTTACTACCACTTAAAATCTGATTAAAGATTTTTAACTGAAGAAATTGATGTCTCATTCTGTCAGTCAGTTTCACATATTTTCAGAAATCTCCAATTTAAACTAATACTTTGTGATTTTAATTAAATTTCTTCAAAAGTTCAAAAGTTATGCAAAACATTAATTACACTTCTTTTTCATTGTAGTCAGCTATTGAAACTTTTGTAAAAAATCCTACTTGTATGAATAAAATTACAAGAAAAATTCTTTCATCATTATATGAAATGAAAGTCTTATTAAAAGGTGTATAAAATCTGTATTAAGTTAATGACACTTATCATTTAGTTTAGGAAATCTTTGAAGTTTTTTCAAAACTAGGGACAAATAATATTTTTTGTTGGCAATAACAAATCTAAATCAAAAGAATAATTTTGAACAGTTAATTTTTTTTTTTTTAGTTTGGCATAACATAGCGATGATGCATGTTATCTAGAAGTTTTCTGAGTTGTAGGAGCGGATATATATAGTATCATGAGCTCATGACATTTTAAGTTTTCTAAAACAATAGGGGAAAATGTGTATATAAACACTAGTCACCAATGGAGTTATGCATTGATGGATTGGTCAGTTAGTGAATCTGTTATTGTGTTATTGATCGAGTTGTGAGTTAAACCTAGATTAACTCACAATTAGTGAGTTAAGCCTCAGTTAGTTATTGAGTTATTTCAGTGGGTTATTTAATGACCCAATCAGTTTGTGAATCAGCAAGTTAGTCATTGAGGGATCGGTCAGTTAGTGAATCTGTGATTGTGTTACTTATCGATTTGTGAGTTAAGCCTATTGGTCAGTTATTGTTAGTTCGTGAAACTGTGTTAGCTACAAAACCTTCATTTAACAAGGAAAATGATGTATTTTCATTAAATGGACTGCGCTTTGCATTACATTTACAAAATAATCAAAATGAATCCACCCAATGATAGAAAACATTACAGCAATATCTTTTAGATGGTTAATATTTGAGATATGTTGAAACTACCAAAATTTGATAGAAATGAAAATTACACTTTTGAAATCTGAGTCTAATTAAGTACTTTCAAAGTATCATACTTATCAATGGTGTTATAATACAATATAAATCAGAATCACACTATTTCTAACCATTTAGTCCTAAGTTTCCACTGTTTCTTATATTTCAATTTATGGAATTCACCATCTTTAGTTTAAAAAATATAAGTTAATTTTGAGACCTGTTTCCCCACAGTTGCCATTCATATTTAACTGTGAGGTCGAAGTAGGTTTTGAACAGTGTTTTCACTTTAAGTACAGCATTCCTGTAGCCATTTATCATTTAATTTGCTCTTGTTATGGATGAGACTACAGGAGATTTAGTTTGCTATTGCTCAGTGTACTGTAAGCTTCTTGTTCTTATTGACACTTCACTGAAAAATGTAATGGAAAACCCATCAGTGAGAAAATGTTAATATCCTTTACACATGCCACAAGAATGTTATAAATCCAAGATACTTCTTTCATAGTTGAAAACGTTTGTAACTAGAGGGTCACTCAGTGGAGCACATACCTCTGCCATGCAGCATTGATCATATTTGACCTAAAAAAAATTTGAAAATGTGTCCATATGTCCATCATTATAAAAGTAAGCATTAAATGAGGAACAGATTTAGTTTGTTTTACACCTTCAAGTTGAAACGTTTTTTACCTTCATATTTTGTCAAAGGTACTGGATGGCCTGGATTATCTTCACTTCCGTGGCATATGTTATTTAGAACTTCAGCCAGACAATGTGGTGATGATTGACCAGCGATGGCCAGTTGTGAAACTAGTTGATTTTGGGGCAGCTCAGTATGTACTAGAAGAGGGAGCCAAGATAGATATTAAAGGAAGATTGGAATATATGTGTAAGTATGTTTGGGATATAGCAACGATCAAAATTTACAAACTTAGAAATTTTTTAAACTTAGAAATTTTTTTCATAAGTTTTCCTGTTACGAAAAAACTTATCATATTAAAGTATTTGAATGTTGTGCCTATCCTGTATTTGAAAATTGTTTAATAAGTTTATGGAATATATTATAAAAATATCTTCTAAGTTACAGTAAGTATCAGAAAAAAAAAAAGAAGAGAGAGAGAAAAAAAATGTTTCTTATCATCTATGTATAAAATATGAATTCAATAATTGAAAAGCTTGAATAGTTTTTCTTTTTTTCAGTGTATATAGCATAGTTAATAGTAAAATGTATAGTTTTGTATTACTTACTTAAAAAAAATATTTCTCTTAGCTCCTGAAATAGTTACGAAAAAAGAAGTAAACTCAGCCTCAGACATCTGGGGAGTTGGAGTACTCACATATATTTTGTAAGTTTTGCAAGAGATATGAGATATCTTCATGTTTTGGAACTCGGCATGTTAAATAATTAGTTTCATAATTTTTTACATATAACTGTGGTGAAAATGTTTTACAGAATTTGTTAGAACGTAGTCTTAAATAGTACAATTTTTTTTTGTTGTTAAAAGCAAATCTCTTACAAAGTATTTGTAAAATATATTTAAATTTGTTGCTGTAATATTTAAGTTATGTTTTATGATATCAAATCTGATTTATTGTCATGCTTTAATTCATGCAAGTACAAATAACGTTCCCTTAGTTGTAATATAAAGTTTGGATATGTTGCACTTTGACCCACTAAGTATTGTTCACAATGTTTCTAGTGAAAAGAAAGGAATTTTATTAGATTAGATTTTATGGAACAACTTGTTATTTTTGGTGTATTGATCCTTCAAAGTACTGATGCATAAAAACTGTGTTATTCTGTTTGTAAGCTTTTAGAATTTTAAAATTTCTCTAAATTTCACTTCCTTTTTTTTTGAGCTTCTAATTGTTTTGCCTGAGAAATTTTGGTAGAAAATTTCACGTTATTATTACAACAAATTTATGTTGATAAGAAAGTGTGTTGTTTTAGCATGCAATTATTTGTGATGATGAGAAAGTGTGTTGCTTTAGTATGCAGTTATTTGTGATGATGAGAAAGTGTGTTGCTTTAGTATGCAGTTATTTGTGATGATGAGAAAGTGTGTTGCTTTAGTATGCAGTTATTTGTGATGATGAGAAAATGTGTTGCTTTAGCATGTAGTTATTTGTGATGATGAGAAAGTGTGTTGTTTTAGCATGCAATTTTTATAGTTAATGAGATTATAAGATACTTAATCTTTAGAGCACTGCTGACCACACCAAATCAAGTAAAATCAAATGCCAGACTGTAGTTATAACTGCTTATGAAAAAATATGTAGGAGTAAAAAATGTAGATCATGTTTTTTAAATATTTGTGTTAAATCCAAAATGTACTGAAAATTGGATGTTTATTACAATGGAGTAACAGTTTTCTTAATGCTATACAAAGTGAACACACCTTTTTATTTAACTTTCCCTTATCATTCCAATAAATTACTTTCTGAAGTCTCAGACCTTTACACATAGAAATAGTGTGTGGTACAAGATTAAGGAAATGTTAAAAAATGTGTTAATTTCTTTTAAAGTGAACTTATCATTTGCTCTAAGTTTTTTGTCAGCATTTTACCATGCTGTGAGTTATAATGTAGAATAATAGGTTTAACATGTGGTTTAGAATATATGAAAGTAACAAGTTTGCTGTTTACGATAGTGATCGTGGTGTCAAGAAAGGGTATAGATTTCTGGACATTATCAGTATGAATAAGTGTGAGCATTATGTCGGAGAGTTGATTATTAAGGAATTCAACCAATTCCAAAAGAGAAGGGAGTTCACGGATCCAATACCAAAAAATGTCGTCAATATATCCGTACCATCTAGTTGGTTCAAGATTAGTTTCAAAATTTCCACTGAGTACGAGCTGATGATTCAAAGAAATGCATAAAAACAGAGGCCGCAACGACAGCAATACTACTGCCCATAGCGATGGAGCTACTATACCCCATTATACAACAATATATATATATATACTTTCTCTCCATATTTTTCAAAGATTTAATGATCCAAGAAAACTTTGTTTCACCATGAATACTTGTAACCAAAACAACAACAACAATCAAAAACTTGAGGTGTAAAAAAATGTACAAGTCAAACTTTTTATGTTTTAATTGAATTATAGTAAAATCTTATAGTTTATTGCTTTAAAAACTTAAGAAGAACTATACTTTTTGAAATGTGTTGTCCATATAGTTCCTAGGCTAAGCTTTTTGAGAGCAGTGTTTCAAGTTTATATGTAAGAATTTAAGTGTGTTCTGATGAAAAAATTTTAAACACCTTTTTCTCTTTGTCTAAAAGTTCCCTTATAAGCATATAAAATTTTGGTATTGATTAGATATACAGTTTGTTTAAAGCTCACCCATAGTTCTCTTTTATGAGTTTTAGAAAATTTGGTACCTGCTGTTTTTCATATCATGTCCTTACTTGTGTACTTAGGTTGAGTGGAGTGTCTCCATTCTTGGGAGAGACAGATCAAGAGACTGCAGACAATATTACATATGTCCGCTACAGGTTCGACCATCTGTATGGTGAGGCATCACAGGAAGCTACTAATTTTCTCATGCATATATTCAAACGTACTCCTCAGTAAGTTATTCATAGTTCACTTGTCTTTTTAGAGTATTACTAGTTTTTACATTTTATTCAAAATTAAGGTTTTTTTATTTAGATAAATAGATTAATTGAATAAAACTTAGTGTATGAGGAATTTGAAGGAATGTTGTAATTGTCATTGGTATAGTTTAGTAGAAAGAGATTTTTACAAAGTGATTTAAGTAGTTACAGGTACAAGGATTTCTGATTGTGTTTATAGTTTAATTAACATATAATTTTAGAATTCAAGTAACGAAAGTATCTGAAAATAGGATCATGCAATTAACATGCTAAAAGTGTTTCATATACAATCAGTACAGTGGTGTAGGAAAGAATTGCAAAGGGGGGGATGCTCGGCTAGATATGCAGATTTTACAATGAAAGATTGAAAGTATAAGCAGCTGCTTAAAGCAGCTCAATCTAGGGGAGGGGTCAGAAAATTGATAATATAACATACAGTTACTATATAAGCCAAATATTTAAAAGTGGGGGTGCTATAGCACCCCTGGTTCCAATGCTGTTCTGTGTGATTTAAGGCTTGTTTAAGCTTATTTAACAGTGTGAGATGTTGATTTATTATAGTACTGATGAGGACAGGTCCGTCTGTTGAAATTCCTAAGATTTTATCAGGGTTTTTTAAATGTGACTTACCACCATTTTTGATCCTGTATGTCTTTATTATCATACCCATGTGCTAATCCCATTTTTGCATCTCCTCTGAGCAGGATTAAACTCGTGACCTCTCACAAACCAAGTAAAACTCTTATCAGTCGAACTAGCAGGTTAATGGTAATCCCATTTTTGCATCTCCTCTGAGCAGGATTAAACTCGTGACCTCTCACAAACCAAGTAAAACTCTTATCAGTCGAACTAGCAGGTTAATGGTAATCCCATTTTTACATCTCCTCTGAGCAGGATTAAACTTGGGACCTCTCACAAACCATGTAATACTTTTATCAGTCGAACTAGCAGTTAATGGTAATCCCATTTTTGCATCTTCTCTGAGCAGGATTGAACTTGGGACCTCTCACAAATCAAGTAAAATTCTTATCAGTGCTAGTAAGGCACTTCTTAATAACTCAATCTATTACACATGCTTCACTTTTATGGTTGTGCTTATTTTCCTAATTTGAACTTGATCATCTGATGTCATGAATATGACTTTTTTTTTAAATGGCTAAAACTGTGAAAGCATCATACAAAACAATGATGCAATGATAAAATCTAAAGAATGAATTTTATGATAATAAACAAGTCAAAAAATTAGCAAAGTTGTATACACAGCAACAGATAGGTATTCTGATATTTTTTTATAACCTGAAGGGTATGAATGTTTAGATTTTGAAGTTCTCATACATAGTAAAACTAAGGATTAAACTACAGAAATATTTGATTTTGTGAAATACTAGAAGGTATCGGAGAAATAGAAGTTAGTCTAAACTATTATGTATGAACACTTCATGGTCCAATCATCAGTACATAATTTTACAACCATTTATTTACTGCAGGAAACGACTCACAGTAAAGGAGTGCCTTGAAAATAAATGGTTGCTACCTAGTGAGTTTATGATTAAGAAAAGAGAACAAGCTGTCTTCCTGTCGCATTTGCTCACAGAATTCTCGGAGAAATTCCATTCTGAGAAGCAGTCCGCTACACCACAGAGGTTGTTGAACATTAGTGGAACATCTCTTCCAAGGTAGTAAAATCTATATATACACCTGGAAAAAAGTTAAGCACCCCCGTGTTTTTTTCAAGTGATTCAGATTCGACGTTCTTGTGACTGATTATAAGTTACCATTCAATCTAAACGTGTTTATCAAATGAAATTATGCATTATTGGGCACAAGAAAAC